AAAAAAAAATAAACAATAATCTTTAACTTGATAGCAGCTTTTAGAATCAATATGTACTGGATAAAATTGTATTTGTCCAGCCAGAGAAATGGTTGTTAGACTGACTGAGGCGCAAGAGGAGGAACGAAGTGTGAGCTGTTTCTGTTTGGTTGGAAAGCGAGGGCTGCATTTAGGGTTCCCTGGAGAGGATTGGCAGGATTTAGACACAGTTTGTGTATAGGAAGTTAGAAAAATCTTTGAATTTAAGATGGCACCTGGGCTGCAAGGCTGAAGGATGATACTGTACGGACGTGACCCTCAGTGAGAGCACAATGCGTGCAATAGTGGGCAGGAAAGAATTTAAGATGCATGGTTTAATAATGCTGAGTGTAACCAGCTGTCCAAGAACTGGTAGGAAGTGTCAGAAGAACAGACCAGGATTGAGGATGGGCCTAAGGGGATAGACTAATGTTCATCATCAGGGAGGTGGGAGTTTAATTTGCATTTAAGGACAAGACTATCCAAAAAGAATGTGCAAACTTGTAGAGTTCCCACAAAAAAATGGGAATAGCTGAGGGAGAGATTTTGCCAACACATGTATTTAGTATTTGCTCGTGTGTGCTAGGCTAAATGTGGCCAAATACCACTATGCCTGGAAGCCTGCCTTGTATCATATGATATTTCTTGTTTCCCTTATAATATTCCTGAGCGAACTTTAGCCATATTTTGTCTGTTAGAAACATGTGCAGTAAATAACGGTGGCTGTGATCGTACTTGTAAAGATACATCGACCGGAGTTCACTGCAGCTGTCCTGTTGGATTCGCACTCCAGTTTGATGGGAAGACATGTAAAGGTGAGTTCAGTGCTTATGGACAAGCGTGTAGCTACCCTTGCTCTAAGTGCATTTATCACCGGTGTCCTGCGGAAAGCTGGGGTGCATGATGAGATATGAGAGTGCACTGCAGCCAGGTCAGACTGCACCGTTTCCTTGTGAGGACCTTCTGCTGTGTCAAACGCATTGTATGCAGAGCATCTCTGCTGTTCTGCCCCTCCTCGTTTCCCTGCCTCATTTGTGGCCTCATTTTGGGGAGCTGGTAAGAGGGCAGCATGTGACAGAGGTGAGTATTGGGAGATGTAGTCACACATGGTTTTATAAGCACATAGTCCCACGGTCTTTATGCTTCCTATAGGCAGCTGGGTACTACAAAAGTTTGTAAGTGAACATGAGAGTGCAAACATGGAAGTAGGAGTGGAATTATCTATGCTGGTCCAAGCAGCTCTAAGGATGATTAGAGTATTGGAAATGAACAAAGAGACTTGGAGGTAATATGTTAGCATGTTTTCAAATAATTACATGTTAGGCTGTTCTATCAGGCAAAAAAGGTTGGACTCTTCATGCCTAATTTGTTGGATGTCGACATATTTCTGAACAGAATTTAGGGAGGTGTTCTTCTATGAATACGCTTGCCCAAACAGAGTTGAGTGCAATATGTTAAAGCAAATAGCACCGTCATGGGGCTGAATGGGCGAGGTGCTTCTTGGAGCTGGGTCTGAACTTCCTAGTTGTCTTGCTCGGTCTCATTTCTCCAACCAATTGGATGTGATGGTCTTCTGGATCTGGCAGTGAAACTGTCTTGAATGCCCTCTGTCAACTTACTGAAATGCTGCTTTTGTTACAGATATTGATGAATGCCAGTCCAATAATGGAGGCTGCGATCATTTCTGTAAAAACACGGTTGGCAGTTTTGATTGCAGCTGCAGAAAAGGATTTAAATTATTAACAGATGAGAAATCTTGTCAAGGTATGTACACTGGGGAAGCCATAAAAGTAGGACAAATCATCTTGGCTTGGATACTTACTACAATGATGAAGTGATAATGGACTCCAGAATAATTTCCATGCTTCAGTGTTTTTTTTTCTTTTTTTTTTTTCTTTTTTTTTTTTTTCTAAAGCAGCTGTGGAGTAAATTATGTTGGCTTGACACTATGGTACAAGGTATGTTTCATTGACACAGTGAACTATTATCTGGAGGCAATACAGACAGCATCATGTTAGAAAGCTCTTCAAGAGGATGACGCATTTTTTTTCCATCTATTAATGATCCTAAAATAACTTACAGGGAGAAATAGCAACATTATCTCTCTTATTGCCTAGTTCACCATTTGCTGTGAAATTGCTTTTTTTATGGGACATTTAAAAGACATGGCTTTATTATTAATATATATATATATATATAACATATATATATAATATATATATATATTTTAAAATGTGCTTTCATAAATCATAGGCCTATGGACTAGATTCACTATTCCCTAAAAATACTGCGGAAACATCTGATAATGGATTTTTCCATGAGGCTTACAAAGTGTATTTTTCCATATAATGATTTGTACATATAGAGCGAGCAAACTTGTTTAGACGGTTGAAGTACATTAATTATCAAAATGATCTTTGTGGTTTTGTCAGAGCTCTAGTATGTAACAGTCACTTGGGCAAGTGAATCTGCTAGATAATCAGCTGACATTTACTGGTGCATTTCAGAAAGTTGAACGGATTTAACAAATAAGAAATTTCACCTTAGTGTTTGCTTTCTCATCCTTTTCGGATCAGGCTGAGAAGGACTGACAGTGTAATAAACATTTAGGGAGAAAATAATGGGAATTTCATCATTTTACTGTTCAGTTCACCGAGATGAAGATCAGCTTTTTATACTAATTATACTTTACAAAGAAGATGCATGTAAAATGACTATAATGCCTCAAATGCCAGCAAATCACTGCTAGAAAGAGATATTTCAGCAAGTTTTAGACATAGTATTTAAGAAGTATACAGTGTAATAAATTAATGGAAAAAAGAATCACCAAATTATTCCAGTCTTCTGTTTTCAGGTGTGTATCAGGAATGAGTGCTTTTCAGCAGACTTGCTTCAGGCACTGCATATTATTGTTGGGTTAGAAATTTGGCACCATGTTTTTGATGGGGAAAAAAAGAAAGTATGGGGTTTTTGTTTGTTCAGTTGGTTGTTTTTGTTGTTTTGTAAATCTATTTCCTGCAGACCTTGCCCAGATATTGTTTTAAGAAATGACTTTCTGATGGCACATTTTTTCTCCATAGGAGAGAGAGAATTTACTTTAATTGTTAAAAATATCACATCAATTTTCCGATTTGCCAAAAAAAAAAAAAAAGCTTGTTTGACAAACTAAATCTTTTCTTAAAAGTTATTTCATTATGCTAGACTATTTGCTTAGTTTACATAAATCTGCATTTTTGTGCATATAGCTTGGCTAGCTGGGAAGTGCTGTCTTTAGCTGGGAAGTCCTGCCTTGACAGCCCCCAAGATACTCATGTGTCCCTTTAAAACTTGCAGACATTGATGAATGTTCTTTTGAGCGGACATGTGACCACACGTGCATCAATCATCCAGGCACCTTTGAATGTACTTGCAACAAAGGATATGCCCTCTATGGCTTCACGCATTGTGGAGGTGAGTTAAAAAGATGCTCTAGGCTGTGCTGGCAGAGCAGACTTCTTGCAAGTGCACTCTATTCCATGAGGTAGGTGTTGCTGAAGACATTGAACAGCATCAGCCTCAAGATCGACCCCAATGGTACCACTGGGGCCTGACTCCCAGCTGGACTTTACGCTTCTGCTTACAAACCTTTAAAACCAGAAATTCAGGCAGAGTTCCCAAAGGGTTTTTAGAGGTAGTAAAGGAGGGAACTGCCCGTTTTTCTGTTGTAGCAGAGTTTGGGTCATCATGTCAGGTATATTCTGTATCAGCAAGCAAGACTTCAGGAAAGGAACATAGTGTGTTGCAGTTTTTGCTACCTGCCATCTCCCTTCCCGCAACATTTGAGCTATTTTGACATTTAGCAAAGCATTTCCAGGAAAGCATAACTATTTCAAGGGGGGATTCCAGATGGAATTCCCAGAATCTTTCCCAGATCACACGAAACAATGTTTGTGCACATCTTGTGGTCTTTGTTGGAATGAAGAACTTTAGCAAGAATTACTTTTTAAAGACTATTTTTACCTTTCCTCTATAGATATTAATGAATGTAGCATCAACAACGGTGGTTGCCAACAGATATGTGTTAATACAGCAGGAGACTATGAATGCCTGTGTCACTCTAACTACAAATTACACTGGAATAAAAAGGATTGTGTTGGTAAGGTGCATAGCAAGTATATGTTTCTACTTCTGATGTGTCTGACAGCCATGCAGTTATGGTCAAATCTGAAAATCTTGATCTCTCCAGTGAAGTGGCATGGATCACCATTCCCTGTATTCTGCTTTACTGTTTTATGAAGCATGGTGATACTGAATTTGAAACTGGTAAGAAACAAGTAAACAAAGCAAAAGAAAAAAAAAAAACAGGAGATACTTTGAGGGTTTTTGATGCTTTCTTTCCTGTGCTTTTTATCTAGCTCCTCTTTCTATCTTCTTTTGTTTCCCTGCATGAGAAAATTTGCTGATGATAACTTTACCTGAAAGAAAATGGCTTAGGTTGTGTGGCCCACCTGTGATTTTTGTTCTGCCTTCCCTCCTTTCTCCACACAGAATTTATTGTATACCGAATTGCATGGGTTCTCTCTGATTGTAGCTATATGAGCAGCTGCACACCTGTTTCTTAGAGCGTATGCAGATGTTTTACTTTTCCCGTGAGTGTCTGTTTTATCCTGTTTAGAAATAAAGGAGCCCCTGCCTGATAATATGTCAGCCAAAGTATTGCTGCGCTGCATTAAGAGTGGTGGGAGTGATAGATGCTTCTTAAGCTGCTCGTCGGATGTCCGGGTAGTTACTGGTAAGTCAAGAAGAACAAAATCCAGCATATGATTGTGTAGAGAGTATAAGAGTAGCAAACCTCCTAACCCCTGTGGAAGCCTCAAGAAGCAGGCGATCAGCAGGGACCTTTCCTCTTTCACCATAGATGAAGGGCTATATCTCTGTCAGTGTCGCCAGAAGGCCCCCTTTCCCTGTCTTTTATAACCCCTTTACCCTCAGATTCCCTTCTGACAACTGGAGGGGACAGGGCAGGATTCTCTGTGCTCCCTGGGCCACTGCGTAGTGGCCCGAGTGGCAGGAGGGCGTTCCAGGCCTGCGTGCGGTGGAGCCGGCGCGCGGCCTTGAGCGCTCGCTGCGGGACATGGGCTGCTTTCCCGCCTGAGCCCCTCTGTGGCATGGCGAGAGGCAAACTAATTTGTGGTATCTGATGGGTAGCATAACTGAAAAACATGGAGAGGATGAACTGAAAAACATGGAGAGGATGAATCAGATCAGCAAATTTAGAAAGTCTTGTGTATCACGCTGTCCGCATGGTGCCTGTGTCTTTACTGTGTATATGGTCTGTCTGTTAGGAACACAGGATGCCTACACCCTTACCTGTGGCAGCTCTTCTCAGCTTAAGAAAAAGCAGCAAAATACAAATGCATCCACTTGGCTGGGTAATTATTAGACTTACCTGTTGCACGATCTGTCTGGATAATTTTAATAGACAATGATAGGGGTGTAGTAACTTTCTGCCTGTTTTTCCTTTCTGTGTTACTCACTCTTTTTTTCCTCTTCTTTTGTAAGAAAGTGAAAACACTTTCTGATTACAGCAGGAAATTCTGATATTCCTTGTACTGCTTCATCAGCATCACCTAAACTAAGACTTAAAACCAAGAAAGGTGAAAAGGATCAGTAAGGAAATGAACAGCTGGGCCTTGGAGTGTCATGCTTGTTTTTAGATACCCAAATTGGACAACTGGCAACAAACAATGTGTGTGTTATATATAGAGGTTGAGATACTGGACAGTGAAGTTTAGAAGGCATTTGAAGCTAGATGGATAGAAGTTCTATTTTATATGAAAATAAGCCAGTTTTTAAATGAATTAAAGTATTTCCTTTGATTTCACCCAACCTTTGCACAATTTACCCAGTAGCAGGCCTGGACTTGATCTCAGTTTGAAAAACAAAACAAAGCACTTTCCTCCAATTCCAGTTCTGAACCAGCTTCACAACAGAAAGAGGCTGGCATTTCTTTAGGTCTCCTATGGTGACCATTTTGCACTTTATATCAGCATTTTTGAAGTCATCATTATGATGTGACATTAGGCTTATCCAAAGTTTTCAGTAATTTTTGATAATAACATGCCATTATTTCTTCCTGAAGATACCTCAGCCATCAAGATAAGCGTAACCTTTAAGTTATCTGAAGGCAAATGTAGTTTGAAAAAGACTGAGATGTTTCAAGAAGGTCTGGAACAGATGATAACAGGTATGAGCATAAAAATGAAGGTAAGAAGATTAGAGTCATAGCTTAGGGTCAAGTGCCTTACTGGTAGGAAGTGCACGATAAGAAAAGCACTAGAGGGGCTGTAACATTTCTGCTCTCTACTGATCTCGTCAACCATGCTCCTTCCCAGCCAGAATTACAGCACTAGTTTGGAGTGACAGGATTTCCCTGTGACAACCATAAAGGTTGTTTATATAGGGAGGTCTCTCTACGAAAGTCCTCCTCTTTTTTTGTTTGAACCATTTCCAGTAAAGTGTGTTCTGAGTAAAACCAGCTATGCTTTTCATGCTTTTGATGAGTTTCTTTTCTTTCTGTACCCCTTCTTTTTCTCCTTCTTTTCTTTTTCTCCCTCTTCCTTGCTGTCTGATGTCTCAGAGGAGCTGACCCTGGCCTCTTCTCTTATCCTGACTCAGGTGCCAAAGTATCATTCCTCTTTTCCTCTTATACTTCGGGAGCCCCAGATGGACAGTGAGGTCAGCTCTTCCATCTGTTTCAAGGCAGAAAGTATAGTTTGGGAACTTAAAAAGTCAGCAGAAAATGAGGAGAAGCACACATGTTAAAATAAAACAAACAAACAGAAAAAACCCTCAATAAACAGAAAAACCCTAAATAATAAGTTGAATCAGCACATCATTTGCTTTGTCCTTAAAAAAGTAACAGCAGTGAATAATGCTAGATGCTCAGTGATGAATATGTGTTCCAAACCAAAGCTTATTTGGGAGACTTCATTAGTTAAATCTTGTTTCCTCGTGCAGACCTTGATAATAGTCTCCTAATGCCCTGTATGTGCAAGCACTACTTAGTTGACACACCATTATAAGCCAACATGTTTTTCATATGCTTCACCTGAGTACAAAACTCCCCTTGAGTGGCCTGCTTGGTGCAGGCAGTGTCATGGTTTTAAAATGCTTTGCATGGAGCAGAGGCAGTTTGTTGGAACCCTGCTAGCAAAACCCAGGGGAAGAAGGCTGAGCACTGCAGCTAGCTCTGATCCTAGCAGTGATCCTGTATGAGAATATGCCAGTTAAGAAACTGTCCATATTTTTCATTTAGCAGTATCTGGAGTTAATCATTTGTTCCCCTTGAAATTTTTAAAACAAAATATATTTGAGCACTGGTGAATGTCCAATAATAAGCTGGCCAAGCTTTTGCTTCCTTTAATTTTGTTCATACAGAGAGACATAATTCAGTAATGGAGAGCTTCCGCTATGTAAACCTAACATGCAGCTCTGGCAAGAAAGTTCATGGACCCTTCAGTAGACTGCCAGCAACTAGAGAAATTTTTATCACTGCGGACTTTGAGCTTGAAACAAGCCATAAGGAGGTGACAGGTTGGTTGGAAAATAATCCAAGGTGCAGTTTGAAGCTTCTTACCATTTGCTCCTTAATTTCTGTATTTTTCATTTCTATCTTTATGCAAAATAATAATAAAAGTATCTCCTGTTTTGAAAACTAATTTTTCTGCTTCAAAAAGGATGAAGGATGGTGATGGTTTTTAAAATCAGAGAGAAGCCTGTAGATTAAAGATTTGTTGTTGTTGTTGTTGTTCTGTTGTTTTTTGTTTGTTTGGTGGGTTTTTTTGGATTTTTTTTTCTTCTCCGTGGGCTGCTGATGTTGTCCTTAAGGATGTCAGACTTGTTCACAGAAGTTGCCTTCTCAGTGATATGCACTAGCTGGTCTTTTCGATTGGGTGGATTTCTGTGCATGGTCAGTTATTGTAGCTTTCCCCTGTGATGCTTTTCAGATACGTGTGATGTGCGCTGTGCACGAAAAAAGACTGAAAAGAGGTTCCGTAAAACCATCCGAACCTTACGGAAGACGGTCAGCAGGGACCACTTCCGTGTTCGCGTCTCCGGAATGGACCATGAAGTGGCGAGAAAGTCTCTCAAGCTATCGGAGCCACAGGAATCATGTGGCGTAGGACAGTTGCATGTGGGTAACAGATGTGGTGAGTAAACATAAATTGGGAACAGAGCATCGTGCCTGTTTTGCTGGTTTTGCTCAGGTCTGATGAGTGTGAAGGGATAGTGGGAAGCTTGTCTGGGAAGGAAGATGGCTGTGTGGAGTTGTAGGGGCTGCTGTTTGTGCTGATAATAGCCCTTCTCTATCTTTTTTTACTATTAGTAATTGCTGTATTACAGAGTAGAACAAGAACTCAGTGCTTTGTGTTTTCTTCTAAATGATGCACAGCCCATGGTAAGTTACAAGGTAGAAAATTTGGTTTAACATCAGACACCAATTGCTTTAAGATTACTGATGTAATTTATGAAAGACCACATTTAATATGTAGCGTAGCAGTTTCTGGGCCTGCGAGCATTTTCTCTCTCCCTTGTTCCAAAGAAAAGGCTGAGCAGGTTTTGCTAGTTGCATTCTCTTTGTTGATTAAGCTTTAAGTGCTGGAGAATCTTTCTGACAGAGTTATAAATTCATGGAGAATAGAGGGTTTTATAGGCCAGCACTGAGCAAATCTTAATTATCATGGCACTGGAGGGCACCACCATAATGCAGCCCATGATAAATGCTTCCAAAGCACAAAAGTTAAGGAGAAGGGTCAGATGTTATCTTAACAGGGCGCTAACAGCCATGACGGCTAATTCAGGCTGCAGAGAGTATGCAGCATGTAAGTGCTTTAGTGAATCAGCAAGCCTTTAAAATGGTTGTCAGACTGAATTAGCACATCTTCCAGCAGCAACCCATTCAGCCTTGGAATAGATTTTCCTGCCTGGCTTTGATAATTCTTGAAAAACTTGGATCCATGTAACAGAAGAATTAACTGGTGATGTTTGAAACCTCTGTCAAAACCATATCCTTGTCACGTCATATGAGCATGAAACTTTCCCTCAGCCTTTTTCTTCCTTGGATACTATGGGATTCTCTGTCCTTCATTTGCATGTTCCACACGTATTTTGATGAAATTTATAGAAACTTAGTATCTTTTAAACCTCTCTGACTTCTTCATCAAATTGCCGGAAGTTTGACAAAGTTCACTAGTTGCTGAGGAGCCACAAAGCACTCAGGGGCAGTGTTATTATGTAAACTTCATTTTCTCAGGAAAACTGTCCCAGCAAGTATGGTAAAGGCAGCATGAAGTGGTAGCTGCTGCTGCTGCTTTCACTATCAGTCAGAAGTAGCTAAAAAACAGAGTGGGAAGAAGAGAACAGAAGGGAAATAGAGTAGAAGAAGAGGAAAAAGATACGGGTAGAGAGTAAATTTGTTTGTTGAATCTGATTGTTTTGAAGAGCTGCTGAGAACTGGACAGGGTTGAGCTCCTGTTTATGTAAGAATGGTAATGATTCTAGGGAGAAGATGGCTCTATAGCAAGAGGTATCAGGTGAGCAGATGGATTCAGTGTGATTGGTGGATGTGATCTCAGGATGGGTGGAGAACTTTGGAAAAGGATTTTGCCTAGTCTGGCCTGAAAGCAGTGAGGGAACAAAGCAAGTTTAAGGTCTTGCAAGTCATCTATGATGCAGATATTAAGAGTACAGGATTCAGTTCTCTCTCTCTCTCTCTCTCTCTCTATATATATATATATACATATATATATATATTAAAAAAAAACTTGCATACAAGGTTAGATATAGCTTTATTGATTCAGACAGTTCCTGTCCTGGTGCTCTTCCTGTGACAAATTCCTCTTGGCAGAGCACTGTCTGAAACATTAGATGCATCTGTGTAAGAAGGAAAGCACAGTGCCTGCTCTAGCAGCTTTTTCCTTACGTAACCAGCCTGCAATTGCAGCACTAAGCTAAACTACAGTTGGTCTCTCAATTTACTTTGTTTTAACTCTTACTGTCCACAGTGGGAGACAGTGCAGAATAAAAACTCGAGAGGCACCAGAAACAGATTAGGCATCATTTCCAAGGCAGTTCATCTTTCTGAATATGCCAAGTAGGTTGCCTGTGTGTATCCAGTGTATTATAAAATAGCAGAAACATGGCTATTCTGCCTGCTAACCTGCTTGCTCTCACAATCAGAGATTTCAGGCATAAATCCTTAAGATACATCACAATCTCATGTGACTGAAGTGCATGTACTGCTAAAAAACAATAGCTTCAAGGATGCTGCTTCACTAAGTTTGCATCAATTGTTTGTGATTTTGCTTATAAAGTCAGGCATGGTTCTTAAGAAAATGGTGAGATGGTGGATCATGACCTCCTTTGAGGTTCACCTTCTTAGCCACTGAGTACTACAGCATTTGTCTATAGGAGCAAATGCTCAAAGGCTAATGTGTTGAAAAGAGGGGAAGAGCCTTTAAATGTCTTTGTAACTATTAATCCTGGTTCCCTGTGGGCCTCCCTCTTTCTTTTTTTTTTTACCCCCCCCTTTCTTTTCTTTCATGTTTTTGCATCAGAAAAGCTTTCACATATATATTTTTTTTCTCCTAAAACAGCTGCATGAGATTCGAGACCAGGGTTTTAATGGGCATTGAAGACAGACAAAGCAAGTGGCTGCAGAAATGAAGTCTAGTGAAGGCAATTGGTTCTTTTGTTCATGTGGAGCAAAGCAAGCAGGTTGCTGAAAAAGAGCAAAGCCAGCCATGGAACTCTGATTTAATGTTGCTATTTGCAAGACTTTAGCTCTTGTTTCGGAGTGGGCATCTCCCTTGTATCAGAAGGGGCCGTGCAGTTTCTGTTTTTGTGAGATGAGGCTCATAAACTTGGTAGCTTTATTTAAACAAATCCCCTGACAAGAATTGAATTTGCCTTAGATGAGGATTATTTTTGTTTGTTTTGTTTTCTTAAGAGGGGACTCATTTGTGCCATCCTAATTCCATGCACAGTCCTATGGATTTCCGTGGGATGATTTCTGTGTTCATGTGCTCTTTCTGTATGAATGTTCGTATAATTGAGCTTAATGTCAATTAGATCTGTTTGTTATGGTAAATTGGGCCCAGGTAAGTGCTGTGAGTTTCTGCATCAAGCCTTCCTCATCATCTCTGCTTTGTACTGGAGTGGGTTTATAGAGCCTTTCGAAAGATCTCCGAATTGAAGGTGGGGAGGAATTAGGAGCAATCCACAGGAGACCTGTTTGCACATCAAGCTGTCTGGACACTTGTGCAGCTTATGAAAGCTTGACTTTTTGTAGTCATGTAGAGAAAGTGGCAAATTTAAGGGCCTGAAGCATTCAGGTTTAGGTATTACTCAGAGTAATTTTTATATTTCTGGACTTCTCCTTAACTCTAGGTTCCTGAAGTCAGTAGGCACCTCTCAGAATCACCTTTACTAACCTCGATGTCTTTCATTGTCACTGAAATGAAAACAGTGCTCTCTCCCTGCCTTGTTAGAAGTGTTGCAATGAAAGCTGTAATTCATTCATATTTGTTGAGCTGCACAGAGTACAGAGATGAGCATTCTGTAGGAATGTTTATAAAACAAGAAAGATTTGAAAAGCTAGGGGGCAAATGAATGTGTTGCCTTATGAGAGCAGAAGTGATATGTGGTGGACAAATCGGAACCAAGAGCTGAGAGGGTCTCCTTCCCCGTTAGCTTTCACTGATGAGCTACAGAGCAATGCTTAACCAGCTCTATTTTATTTTTAAGCTGAAGAAGAGTGCTGGAGTGCTCACTATTCCACCAAGTGTATCAGCCATAAACTAAATTCTTCATCATTGATCATGACCGGTAGTTAATGCCATGCTTGTTGTTAGTCGTATATCCTGAAATGAAGCCAAGGCCAATTTAACTTCCTAACAAAACAGCTATTCAGTGAGTGATTTAGTGGAGCTATAAACTAAAACTAACAGTTTATTATTGTAACAGCTCTTTAAAAGGAAAGGATTTTTCAGTGCAGCTGAATTGCAGCAGTATTTTGTGCCTTCCAAAGCAGAGTGGTTACTGAGTACTGGCATGGAAATTTTAGTTGTTTTGTGAAAAGTTTGAAAAACTTTTTTTTTTGTGGTACCCATAAATATTCCTGAATTTCTTACATAATATCAGGGTGTTCGTTTAAGTAAATTCAGTCTACTTAGGTTAATGATATCTACATACCATATAGAAAACAGCAATTCAGAGCACAGATAATGCTACCTGAGACCCAGAACCAGAGGAATGTCAGGAGAATTTCTCTAGCTAGAGTCTGAGGAGTGTGTTCTGCTTAGGTTTGTAAGTTTGCACAAGTCTATATTGTGCTTGAGGTTCTCATGTAATTTGGCAACATCAGTGTTTATGATATTCCAAAAATCATTAATATTAAAAAAATGCTGTTAGGAAACGGTAAGTACATTTTTTGGCATCTCAGTTTCCATGTTGATCGTTTAATTTTGGAGGGGTCCAAGGACTCTTTAGCTGGAAAGAGGGGTTAGTGATTGACTATGTGCTCACACCATACAGATTAGCAGAGATTGCTGGACACACCTGTGGTAGCCTTGCAACAAAGCCTAAGATCCCTAGCAGCTCACAGAGGAGTTGAGCAGCACCAGAAGTTGCCCATTTCACTTTGACAGGGTGCAGCATATGCAACGAGTCCTGTGAGTTGCCTGTGTTTGGTTCTGAATCCCAGGCCCACCCTTCCCTGGGGAAGAGAGGAGCTGTTGCATGTTAGAGTTGCAGGCCCTGGGTGCCAAACTCCCTTCAGCCCTAAGGTAGGGGTTAAGGCAAGTGTGTCCTTCCTCCTCCAGATCAGTGCTCACCCGGCGAATACTCCCCTGATGGCTTCAAGCCCTGTCTGCCGTGCCCCGCTGGAACATTCCAGCCGGAAGCCGGGCGGGTGTCCTGCTTTCCCTGCGGAGGAGGGCTCACAACGCGACACAACGGTGCATCCATGTTTCAGGACTGTGAGACCAAAGGTAAGCTCAAGACACGATGAGCTGCACTGCTCTGAGGCAAAGCTGTGGCTTTGGCTGCCAATGGGCATTGCAGGAAGGCTTCAAGGATCTCTCCTGCCACTCAGTTGCCTTGGCCTGGCTGCACGGAAACTCAATGGAGCCTCGAGTCTTTTCATAACTGATTTTTATACAAGACTCAAGGAGGCGCTGGGAGATAGGTAGAAGTTGGCTGGTCAAGTCATTGATCTGAGTTACAGAAGGGAATTCTGGAGGAAAAAAATATCGGGGAAAATCAACAATTCTATGACATTTTAATTCTGAGCACAGCAGCCTGCTTCAAAATGTGAAGGAGGATATTGCAGACCTAGAGGATAAATAAGAAAATGTTTTCTTCATGTTCTAAATGAAACTGGCCTGGATGCCTTGGGAGATATTTGAAGAGCCAAAATTCATCTTAACTCTGCAGTAACTCACAGATCCCATCTAAACTTGACCATAATGGAGCTGTCATGCAATTAGCTCCTAAAGTTTGGCTCACGAAAGTGAAAAACAGGTGGGATTGTGCCTTTCAGAATGGAAGGAGATCCTGTGAGCAGTTATCTTAAAATCTTAAACAACAACAACAAAAAGATTACAAAAGCTAAACTTGTCTTTGAAAACACCAATAACAACTCATGTGCATACAGAGAGAAGAAATAGCTACAGTTGCCTGATATCTTAAGGCATGGTTAAAAGACTATCACTTTTATGAAAATCACAATGAATAAAAAGTGATAATAGAAAATCTGTTGGTACAGAGTTGAAATAAGAGATGGAAATCAGATTCTGGTACAAATATTTGTTGCTAATTCAGTCAGATAAAATTCTCCAGTATCATTTAAGATATGTATGCTGTTGAGAACACTGGGAATTGCAACATAATGGAAGAATCTTGCACTATGGTTGAGGAGCTAGTGCTTGTGGTAATATGTGATAGTTAACAGATTTCTTCAATGAAGAAACGCTGAATCCACAAACATTGCTATTTCATACTCAATTTTGTAAAGTAAATACATTTAAAAATAGAAAAAAAAAGCTCTCTGATCAAGATAAGAGGAACTGATTTCAGATTTATTTAATACAACAGGTTAGAAAATAGTCTGTAAACGAGACTTGATTTTTGAATTAAAATAGAGATTTTTATATCATCTGGAATGAAGAGCTCAGGGCCTTGCGTGTATGAAAAGCCACATGAGACACTGAATCTGCTTAAATCACAGGTGCAAAAATTTCTTGGAACTTGTATCTGAAACATTTGGAGAGGAGGAAAAAACATGTAGGGAAGCACTCCAGAATGAGTTAGCTGAATAAAAACCTCATCAAGAAAAGGTTGGCTCGGGAGCAAGCAAAGATTAAAAGCAACAGAAAATGAGACTGCAGCACAGAAAACTGCATTTGAAAGGCCAGGTAGTGAATTATTTTTAAAGTCAAGCTAAGAGAGGTAAACTTGCCAAGTGAGGCAAAAGGAATCGGAAAATATTCTCAGTAACACAAACTTGAAATGGCAAAGGAAAAGGCCGGGGTGCGTTACGAGCTAAGATAATCCATGGCCCACGCTGTTGCCTGCTTTCTGTCAGGTTGCAGTACATGATGATGGGCATAGATGCAGGATAGCTAAGCAAAATCAAACTAAAACAATTATATTAGAGATGTAAGCAAAGCCGTTGGAATCTCATATTCTTAGATTGAAATGAGATAAGAAAATCTTCCTGTCTGCATTCCAAATAAAAGGAACAAGAAGTTGATAGGCTCTTTTTATTTTTTTTACCTCATGTCTGTCTGTCTACATCTTCCATAGAATATGTTAGAATTATGAAAAGATTTGTATGTCAGGGTGGGGGCTGGCTTTGGTAATGCAGCAGGTACCCTCAGCACCCTCAGTTAGGGCTATTGCTTGTGTCTCCCGGTAATGCGAGTGACATGATGAAATAAAATAATAGCAGATCTGGTGAAGGTGGCCGTACCAGGAGTCATTGTTAGATAGTGTGTGATTATGAGAGGAGAAGAGGGCAATATACTTGTTCAGCCACTAATATTGGTATAATGTAAAATTGTAGAGGGCCAAACTCTTTTCATCTCTGCTTATGGTGGGCTGACCACAGGCCTCTCGAGGATGCAGCTCAGTAGAAGCTGGCAAGGCAGAAAGTTTTACTTAGCATTTGCATTCAAAGTTCATCTTCTATGTCCAACACTTGGTAACACACTCCTCAGGTGAATGTCCTCATAACAAAATCATACTGGACTTCCTCACTCCATCTTCCACACACTGGTCTATAATACTACAAATGGGATTTTTTTAAAAAAACTTGGACAAAGTGATTTTGCAAACTCAAATATGGAAATGTAATTCTGTTTTATGAGCTTTGTAGTTCGCGGATATAGCACAGACACTGAAATTAGAATATGCTCTATAAAAGCGTGTAAAAATTGCTGTTGCCTCATTTTTGAACAATGCTGCCTCTTTAAATACCTTCCAGTTCAGTGTTCACCTGGCCATTTTTACAATACTACAACTCATCGGTGTATTCGCTGCATAGTTGGAACATATCAGCCTGAGTTTGGACAAAATTACTGTATTTCATGCCCTGGAAACACTACTACTGACTTTGATGGGTCAACTAATGTAACACAATGCAAAAGTAAGTATAGCAAGATGTTTTGACAATCTCTTACAAGTAAAAAGGTTGGGTCATAAAT